GTGACGGTGCTAGCTGCGCCACAGCTCGGATGGACATCCTCATGGGACTCTCCCTTTGAGTGTTGATGCTTTGAGGATCGCTGCTGGCCGCCAGGAGCCAGTGTAGCATCATGAATGGCATCTCGGTGATGCAGTACAACCCGATGTCTGCGGCACCACATGATAGGCTGGTGGATGTGGCAGAGGTTACATCACAGTTCGACTTCGTCTGTCTCACAGGGACGGGTGCACGGCGATATGGGAGGGATGAGATCGTTTGGAGGAGAGCGGGGAGGAGGTGGACACTGAAAACAGGATGGGCAAGGGCAGCGGGCAGCAATCGTAGTTGTTGCAGTATTTTGCTTGGCCCACGTATCCCCAAAAGATCAATTACGCATACCTGCTTCCCCATAGTGGCCATGGATTTGAATTCAGCGTCTGGGCAGCAGCGTCTGAGTGGAAGCGAGGACTGGACGCCAGTACAGGACGATCGCTTAGGGCATTCTCACTGGTTGGGTCGTCTGTGTCACTCAGCGGATGTGCTACTGCCCTTCCTTCAGATGTTCGATTTGGTCCCGATTAACTTGCATATTGGAGTCGGTCCTACATATGCAGGACCTGCTGGTGGCACATCGCTGGAAGATTACATCTGCATACATCGATGTTCGCCCCCACAGATCACCTCGGCAGGACCGCTCAGAAGTCTTGATAGGAAGTTGCGGTGAATCAGACATCGCGATCATCGCGACCATCTTCCGCTGTATGCCCGATTTGAATATACTATCCAGGCCACCACAGGAGGAGAAGCATTAGGACTGCAACTCAACCTTCGCCCTCGGTATGTCAGGTGGAGCAAGGAGGCATTGATGGACAGCTTGAGGAGTGGAGTGGGGAGGGCTGAGTTCTTGCAGGAGCACTGGCAGCTGATCAGGAGGGAGGAGGAGACACCTAATGCAGAGTGGGGCTACTTCATTAACTTACTCAGCACGGAAAAGTTTTTTGTCCAGAATGTACAGCGCTCGGCAGACTACCCACAGAAGTCCCAGAAGATGCTCTCTCTTCTGGCCCAACGGCGTAACTTGCGTGAATCCTTGGCTGATGCCCAGTCCTTAGAGTTTGCAGACCTTGCACAGATGCGGCCGACGTACTACAATCGCAAGAAGAAAGTGCAGCCGAAGTTCTTCAAACTCCAAACGTCGACGATCGCCTGGGACGGGGAGAACGTCGGCACGGTTCCACAGCCTGGTCTCGCACGGGGGCCAGTTCAAGCTCAGCGAGGACGAGCTCAACGAGGGCTAGCTACCTTGACTACGATCAGGGGGTCTGCCCGAATGGCTCAGATGGCGAGAGATGGCTTATTACAGCACGTTGGCCTACCTAATCTGCAGAATGGGTGCTCAGAGCCGATTTCATGCTACCAGACGCCCGCTGGACAGGAGTTCAGAGTCTTCTATGTAGATGAGTTGCAGCACACTATTTCTCTGGTGGCTTTGGCTCGGCGGGGCCCGAATGTGCGATCTATGAGAATGCGAGTTGGCCCACAGGTTGCCATAGTCTCTTCTGATGGCCAGGCCCATCGCCAACTTGTGAGCACGCGTGCAAACCATGACTTGTACCAAACGGGCGATGATGACAGGATCTCCAATCCCCAGCCGTAAGGCAGGACTGGGTGGCCTTCGGGCGCGGAGGCCATTTTCTGTTCTGAGCTCGTCTCTGTTGCCCTGTCAGTTCAATTGTCTTGCACCCAGCATTTTCACATTGTGCAACGTGTGCGTGTGCATGTTGATTCGTCGGTTGTGCACTTCATATTTCCATATCATGATGCAGGCAAGCGACCTCTCGACTCGCTTGCATATCCGCTCAGCTGCGGTGCGGTGCTTAGCCGAGGCCTCCAGGTTTCTCCCGAAAGGAGGTTATCGGATCGAGCCAGTGGTGCCCCCCCAGCAGAGCGATCTAGACAGACGCTCACAGAAGCGTACACAGATCCAGAGTAGGTCAACTGCAACTTCCAGGCGCCCTTCTCTTTTTGTTTGCTTGCCATGTGTAGCAGTTCAGTGGATCGTAAGTGTGTCTTGTCTTGTCTTGTCCTCCTCCTCCTCCTCCTCCTCCTCCCCGTCCTCCTCTTCTCCTTCTCCTCCTCCTCCTCCTCCTCCCTCCTCATCCCCCTCCTCCTCCTCATCCTCCTCCTCCTCCTCCTCCTCCTCCTCCTCCTCCTCCTCCTCCTCCCAACAACCCAGGCACGGTGGCAGGATGGGCAGACGGCCACCAAGAGGGACACACGTGAACGATGGGGCACGGCACGGTGCCCCCGCTTTTTGTTTTTGTCCTCAAATTTCGGGGCTTCGCGCCCGAAAGGGCCCAGGAGACCGCCCGCGGGCCCCCAGCGAGGCCCAAGAGCGGCCCGAAGAGGAGGAGGAGGAGGAGGAGGAGGAGGAGGAGGAGGAGGAGGAGGAGGAGGAGGAGGAGGGGGAGGGGGAGGAGGGAGGAGGAGGGAGGAGGAGGAGGGAGGAGGGAGGAGGGAGGAGGCCCCAAAACGGCCCCCAAGGGGCGTCAAGACGGACTCCAAGAAGCTGCCCAGGGGCTTCCCGAGAGACCCCAGCAGGCACCCGCGAGGTCTCCGACCGACCTCCCAGGCACGCGGTGGCAGAAGGGGCCGAAGGCCACCTAGGAGGTGCACGCATGGACGAGGGGCACCGTGGCCCCTCCTCTCTGTCCTCATGTTCGGTTGTCGTCGTCGGAGGCTCCGCTTTTCCTCCTCCTCCTCCTCCTCCTCCTCCTCCTCCTCCTCCTCTTCTCCTCCTCCTCCTCCTCCGCTTCTCCTTCTGTTCTTGTCTCTCCACCCCGTTCTGCCCTCGTCTGAGTCGCCGTCATGCTCCTGGACTCGTCTCCCCTGCCTCGACCTCCCAAACCGCCCCCCTCGCCCTCGTCGTCCTCCTCCTGGCGACCTCCGTGCTCAGGGACGGGCTGTTTACTGCGTGTTCCCGTAGCGTATTCGGATTAAAATCTTCTCCGCAGCTCTCGCCCACTTCTCGGCATCTCACTGCGAGCTGGGATTCCAGAGAACTTGAGCGTGCGAAGCGTGGGCGATAGGTATTGCGTATGTGTGTACAGCTTTATATGTATATAAACATGTATACACATGTGCATGCTACTGTGTTGCACGTACTGGCATGCCACTGCATGGTGGTCGATATCTCTGTTTGTTTCATTCATGTTGTTTACGTTTATGTATATCGTCCTATCTCTCGACATAAGAATAGACAGGTAGGTCGGTAGATAGATAGATGGATAGTTAGATAGATAGATTGATCGCTCCCTATCGGTTCGTATATCGAATGGCCTCCGGCACATCCCGCCACCGTGCCTGGGTTATTGGTATGAGGCTTCGTGGACGTTCGTTGGGATCTCGTGCGAAGCCTCTCGGGGGCCTCTTGGAGGCAGGTCTGAGGCATCTGGGGGGCTAGTTGGAGGCATATTGGGGCATCTTGGAGCATTTCTGGGGTCTCTTGGAGCCTCTTGTCTTGGGCGCCTCTTGGACCCTCCTGTGGCTTAGTTGAGGCAGAAGATTCGAATTTTCGGTTCGTGGTCCCCCTCGTGCGCCCCTCTTGGGGCCATATTGGGGCCCTCTTGGGCCGTCTTGGGCGCCTCTTGGACCGTATTGGGGCCCTCTTAGTTAGGCCGTCTTGGGGGCCTTTCGGGGTGTCTGGTGGTAACATGTGTGGCCTCTTGGGCTGTCTTCGAACGTCGGAATGCCGAAAAGGCGAGAAGACAACAAAACGTCAAAACCTATGGAAAATCTATGATGTTGGCCTTTGGGGGCCTTCTTCGAAAGACTCTTGGACGCGACGCCTCTTGGGGCGTCTTGGAAGCCTCTCTGACCGTCTTGGGGCATCTTGAGCGTCTTGGAGCGATCTTTAGGCGTCTCGACGCCCTCTTGGACCATCTCGGGAATCTCTTGGGACTCTCTTGGCACGTCTTGGGCCCAGCCCGAAAAAGTCACGCGGGGAGATGCGGGAAGCCCTCGACAAGCCGCGGCAAGCCCCCGGAGATGTTGGGAGATTTGGTAAATTGGGCTCCGGGCACCTAAGAGTCTCCTCAGGAGTGAAGACTGAAGTTAGAGGATTAGGGGAAGGATCTGAGGGCACGCACATTCCGTGCCCAGAGGCACGGTGGTGGATACACAGAGGTTTGTATATCCCCCTTGTCTCTCTCTCTCTTTCTCTCTATCTCTCTCGTTCTCTACCTCTCTACCGTGTTTTCGCTCTCGCTCTCTCTCTCTCTCTCTCTTTCTCTCTCTCTCTCTCTCTCTCTTTCTCTTTTTCTCTCTCTCTCTCTCTCTCTCTTTCTCTTTCTCCCTCTCCCTCTCTCTCTCTCTAGAAGTGCACACCTATAGAATTTCCTACGTGTATAGCGGTCTCTCCTTCTCTCTCTCTCTCTCTCTATGTGTCTATGTGTGTGTATCCTCTCCTGCCTCCCCTCTTCTCTTGCATCCCCTCTCCTCTCGCCTTCTCTTCCATCGCCATGAAGCCTAGTCGCCCCTTCATCCCACCTCCTCCCTCCCCCCTCCCCCGACTCCGGGGTGCGACGACGGCCGCGCTTCGCGCATCGCGGCCTGAGACCGAGAGTTGTCCGCCTCCACGGCGCGAGCGCGCAGCGATCGTGGCGCTGCGCGCCACGCGCGGCGCCAAGCTGGCCGGCCCGCGCAGGCTCCACGGGGGCCACGGCGGCGGAGGAGGAGGAGGAGGAGGGGGAGTAAGAGGAGGAGGAGGAGGAGGAGGAGGAGGAGGAGGAGGAGGAGGAGGAGGAGGAGGAGGGAGGAGGAGGAGGTGGAGGAGGAGGAGGAGGAGGATGAGGGAGGGACGGAGGAGGAGGAGGCGAGGAGGAGGAGGAGGAGGAGGAGGAGGAGGAGAGGGGGCGAGGGCGCAGGAGGAGGAGGAGGAGGAGGAGGAGCTGGAGGAGGAGGCTCTCCTGCCGCAGCCCCGAGCGGGCCCATCGCTTCCCCAGCGGCGCGGCGTCTCCAGGACCACGGCGCGATCCTGCTGGACGCCAGGGTCGGAGCGGGCCCTGGCCGCACGGGGAAGAGGAGGCCGATGAGAAGGAGGCGTGGGAGGAGGAGGAGGAGGAGGAGGAGGAGGAGGAGGAGGAGGCGGAAGAGGAGGGGACGTCGACGTCCTGCACCAGAACAGCGACATTTGCATGCTGGGGGAGACAGCAACGACAGCTTGGTACCGCCCACGGCCATGAACACCTTTCGTAACCATTCTGCGGAGGACGCTACGGGCCAGCTCCTACAACCCGCTGGATTAAAAAGTTGGGACGGCGGGATTCGAGAGAGAGAGAGACGCTGTTGGCCACCCGTTAGGCCATGGGGCCCAGGACAATGTTGGATTTGATGCCGATTTGGGAGTTTCAGACGCATACCTCACCCCCTTTTTAATATTATAAAGGCCAAATGGGGCCGGCGTCTGAAAGTGGCATTCCGCCTGGGACTTCCTCAAAAAAAGTTTCAGATCGCCTTCCAGGGCGATCTGAAATTATTCCATGCCGTCTGAAAGTGGCGATTTCGCTTAGGTCTTCCTCACAAAAAGTTTCAGATCGATGTTCATGCCGCCTGAGAGTGGTCGTTTCGTTTAAGACGTCCTCAAACAGCACTTTCAGGTTGCCTACCATGCCGCCAGAAGACAAAGATTTCGTGTGCGATGATTTCCATAATTTTGTGCTGCAGAGCTCTACGCCCTGCGGAGCCGTTCCGTCATTCGGTTCACGGGCCTGCCTTGGAGTCATCTCGGGGTTGATCGATGGTGGAGGCTCGAGGGCCAGTCGACCGGCGAAACCCGCGGGGATCGCTCTTTTGCATAGTGCCGGTCACAACATTTTAATCCAGAGGGTGGTATGAGACTAAGGGCGGACTGGTCGCACCACAACCAAGCGCCTCAGCCTGCCGCACGGGTGGCAAGAGCAGGACGGACTGCAGCGAGGGTTACCTCATCCACGCGAGGGACTCACTCCATGCGCTAGGCGACCTCCCCCCGCAGGTTCCACACACCGACATCAACACCCTCCACCTGCTTTTAAGTCGGGCCTGTCCCCCTACAGGGGGATTTTCTACGAAAAATAGAAGCACCCCAAAAATGGTAACAACTAATGCAAAAATGATCTCGGAACTAGTTTTGGAATATGTTTGACCATTTGGGCGCATTCTTGGAGTATTTTTTGGTATCTTTAATTTTTCATCGGAAATCCCCCTGTAGGGGGACACGCCCGACATAAACCTGCTTCCCTCTCTCTGGCGGCGGTGGGCAACCTGGGGCCCGTGCAGCGGCCGAGCGCGGCCGCGGTGGGCAGGCCCTTCCGGGAGGCCGCGAGGCGCGCGCCGGCTCGGGCGAGAGAACGAGGAGGCGGAGGCGGAGGAGGAGGCGGAGGAGGAGGAGGAGGAGGAGGCGGAGGCGGAGGAGGAGGAGGAGGAGGAGGAGGCGGAGGGGATGGAGTAGGGAAGCGAGGAGGAGGAGAGGAGAGGAGGAGGATGGATAGGAAAGGAGGCGGAGAAAGGGGAAGCGGAGGAGGAGGAGGAGGAGGCGGAGGAAGAGGCGGAGGAGGAGGAGGAGGAGGCGGAGAAAGGGGAAGCGGAGGAGGAGGCGGAGGAGGCGGAGGAGGAGGCGGAGGAGGAGGAGGAGGAGGCGGAGAAAGAGAAGGATCCGGGCGGGCCCGTAACTGCCTCACCGACCGCCCCCGCGCTCGCGCGCCCGCCGCCCCCCCATCGCCTTGAGTTTTGAGCGGGCACGTCTTATTTCTGGTTTCGGCCAGGCTTTTCCTTTCCGTTTTAGTGAAAAATGTATCATCGTGTTGCGTTTTGTTTCCGCTGTCGTTTTCGCATCCTTCTATATTCGTTCTCGGCGTGCCGTGTTTGTTCCGCTTCCGTCTCAACCCCAAGTGGTCGGTCGTCTCGCGCAGGCAACCCCGGGGGGCCCTTTGCGTCTCTCGGTCCTCTGTCGGAGGAGGCGCCCGGAGCGGAAGAGGCGCTGCTGTCTTCGACGGGCACAGACTCAGGGGGCGACCGAAGGTTCCGAAGCCTCTGTCTGCTCGCTCTGAAAATATGAAATTGTCAAGACGCTGAAATACAACCCTTCTCGAAACCGAACGCACGTTTTTAATGTTGGCCGACGCGCGGAACGCGGCCCACGGGGTCAGATGTCTATGCTTTCAGTCGCCGATTTCGGCGCGAGCACTGAGATTTGGGGGATCCTGGGGCGCCGCCACATCTGGGGAAAAACTGCGTTTGATTTCGAGGGAGGGATGGAAGGACCTCTTTGGGCGAGGGGGCGTTGGTTTCCTGGCTGCTCTTCAGATCTAGGTCGGGAAGCTTACTCGTTGCCCAAGCTCGCCGTGGCAAGCAAAGCTCCTGGTCCTTATCTGGCGTTCCTTATGGCAGCACGATCTCGTAAGTGCGAAGCTGGCGTCGGTTTGGGCGGCTTGGGTTTGCCGGAGGCCCACGCGAGGAGCGCCAGACGCGCCCAGGAGCGGTCAAGAGAGCAACACGAGTCCTGCAAGTGTGTGGCTTGGGCCCACAAGGATCTTGTAGTCTTCATAGAAGTTCTTCACGCTTCGCGTATCCCCACCAGTTCATTGCATCTCAGTTGTGGAAGGTTCTCCTGTCAGCATGCTCCACACCCTGGATGCGCGTTCTGGCGTCGCGACTTGGTGTCGCCGTCGGGATTTTCCGCTGGACTTATGGTTCCAGTCAGTCTGTACTACCTGTCAGGCTTCCTGGATCGATGTCCTCGGGAACGTTCCTTTCTGTTCGCACCTGGACTTCTGGGAACGCCTCACGCGCCATTTTGGCTGCGCTTGGTCTCCTCGGTGCCTGTCCTCAGGCTCGTTGGATGCACCGTTGCATGCCCGTCCAGGGGCTGTCTCAGACTCCCTGGATTGCACGTTGGCTCTGCCGCCCTGGGCGCTGCCGCCCCCCGCCGCCTGATCCGCGGCCCCGCGCGCGTTAGGCAATTTAGTCGCGGCCGTAGCCCGCCCGCGACCTCCCGCCGCTGGCGCTTCCGCCTGCGGCTGTAAAAAAAAAAAAAAAAAGTATCCCCACCAGCCCATTCAGAAATCTGCCCGTGAGAGCTGGCGGGAAAAGGGACGAAAAAGGTACATGTAGTGAAAAAAGCGGGCAATCAGGGCGAACAGAGAGATCTTTGGGAGCAGGGGAGTGGCCTTGGAGGGCCTCTCCGGGCCATCCCTGGGGCCCGCGTGGGAGCGAAGGAAGGAGGAGGAGAAAGAGGAAGACGGCGACGGCGTCGACGACGACGACCACCACAATGACGAGGAAGAGGAGGAACATGAAAATGAAGACGATGAGGGCAAGGACGAGTACGAGGAGGAGGAGAAGCAGGACAACGAGGACAAGGACAGAGCCTTCAAAATCGCATCTGGGAGCCCTTTTGGGACTCTTTTGGAGGATCTCGGGGTCATCGTGGGGCTCTTTTGGGTGGTCTTATGGCCCTCTTTTGGAGCCCTCTTGCGGTTCTCTCCAGCCCTCGAGGGCCTCTTGGGGCCATTTTGGAGGCCATCGATCAAAATGGAGGGGGGGTCCTAAATCCCATCAGCCCTTTGGGCGAAGGTGGTCTAGCGACATCGCTCATTCCTCCTCCAAAAGCATACTCCCTTCGGGGAGGCACCCTCCCCTCCCCGAGGTTGTTCTGTGGGGGCCGCGAGGTGGCAGGGGTGGGCGTCCTCGCCCAAGACGGCCCCAAGGAGGGCACCCGAGGCTCCAAGATGGCTCCAGGAGGGCCCCCAGGGCACAGCCGGGGCCCTGAAGAAGGAACCCTTTTCGTTGGGGAGGGGCTCGGTGTTCCTTGACTGTTCTGCAGCTTGCCTCCTGCTTTCCGGAGGCTTCCCGCGGGAAGTCGAAGCTCAGCTTCTGGGAGGAAGGGGCACCGTTCCTCATTGAGGGTTCCTGGGGTCAACGCCCCGCCTGTAGCTCAAGATAGCCGAAGATGATACAAGATAGCTTGCGACATACCTCCAGGAGGCCCGACGAGGGCCACAAGACGGTCCCAAGAGCGTTCGGAGCCCCCCCAGGGTCCCACCAGCAGGCCAAAAACCGCTGAGACTTTAGTGCAAATCAAGGGTGTTTCACGTCTCGCCCTTTCGCTTCCGATGCGCTCTCGAGGCCTCCAAATGGCCCCAAGATGGCCCAAGCGAGGCCCAAGAGGGACCCAAGAGGCCCCCCGGGCAGCCCAACGAGCGCTCAAGATCGGCCCGAGAGCGTCCCATAAAGGGCCCCAAGAGACGATTCTGATGTCATCAGGGGGGGGGGGGGTGGGGGGGGGGGGGGGGGGGGGCAGACAGAGCACCCCCCCCACCCCCTTGTGACCGGTGGCCTCGAAGATGGCCCCAAGAGGCTCGTCAGGGCTCCCGAGGGACCCCAAGACTTGGCATCGCTCGGACGTGTGCATTTTTCCTTCGGCGAGGGCCATCGAGGAGCATCCTTGATGATTTGGCGGAAAAGCCACGCACGAAACCGAAAAAAGCGCAGGAAATGGACGTCCGAGCGATGGCCCGAAGAGGGCGGCTCCAGGGCGGCCCCAAGGAGGGCCCCGAGGCCCTCACGCCCTTCCAAGGCCACCCCGAGGCCACCCCGCTGCTCCCGGAGATCTCTCCGTTCACCCTGGTTGCCCGTTTTGTTTCACTGTAATGTGTCGGGAGGAGGAGGAGGAGGAGGAGGAGGAGGAGGAGGAGGAGTAGGAGAGGAAGAGGGGGAGAGGGGGAGGGGGAGGGGAGGAGGAGTAGGAGGAGGAGGAATGAAGGAGGAGGAGGAGGGGGGAGGAGGAGAGGAAGATGAGGAGGGGAGGAGGAGAGGAGAGGCGGTATTAAGAGGTAGTATTTACGAGGGATAGGAGAAGGGATGTGATTGAGTGGGGGATGGTGGTAGAGAAGACACATTAGAGGGCAGGGAGCAGATTTCACTGAGTCTGGTGGTGAGCGTTTTCCTGGCCAGCGGCCGCCGGCGGGGCGGCGCCTGCGG